TCTGTGGGACTGTACGTATATGGATACCTCAATACTCCACTATAATTCGGCCACTTACTGAATTGTATCGTAAAACTGTTGATTTTGTCTGGGATGAACGGAGATCGCAAGCATTTGAGAAAATCAAACAGTTAGTGGCATCAGCCCCAGCCCTCACACCTATAGACTACAAGTCAGGCAGGCAGATAATATTGTCAATTGACTCTAGTAAGTATGGCACTGGTATGGTACTGTCACAAATAGATGAAGAAGGACGCCGGCGACCTGCCCGGTATGGTTCTTTACCTATGAGTGAGCGTGAATCCCGATATTCTCAGCCAAAACTTGAACTGTTTGGTGTATACCGAGCTCTCAGGCATTGGCGTTTATATTTGGTCGGGGCTCAAAATCTTCGTCTAGAAGTTGATGCCAAGTTTATCCAAGGGCTACTCAATAGTCCTGACTTGCAACCTGATGCAGCTGTCAACAGGTGGATACAAGGAATTCTTATGTTTCACTTTGAACTAGTCCATGTTCCAGCAGAAAAATTTCATGGGCCTGACGCATTATCCCGAAGAGGGCTAGCACCTGGGGAAACTGCCGAAGACGATGATGACACCTGGCTAGATGAAATTGCTCTTCTTGTTAGAAAAGTACACCCATCTACCCTCCCAGATAAAGCATTGAACCTACCATCCTGCCATCTTGCTAGAAGTACTCAGGAAATGGACTTGCAAACATTGAACATTTTTTGAAAACACTTGAAGCCCCAAGTTTCTTAACACCGCAAAAGCATCAGCGATTTTTACGACAGGCAACACAGTTTATGGTTAACGAAGACAAACTATATAAACGGAACTCACATGGGCCTCCATTGCAAGTTATTACTGATCCTACTATACGCCTACGAATTCTCACACAGTCACATGAGGACTTGGGGCACAAAGGAGTCCGCGCCGTCTGGGAGCTATTACGTAACCGATTCTGGTGGCCAAAAATACACAATGACATCTCCCACCATGTGGCATCCTGTCATACCTGCCAAGTTAGAAACACCCGGAAGATGGAAAAACCTCTCTCCATATCAACACCAGTGACAATCTTTCAGAAAGTTTACATAGACATTATGAATATGCCTAAAGCAGGCAGTTTTACGAAAATTGTTGCAGCCCGGGATGACTTGACAGGTACATGCGAGGCTATGGCCATTGAAGACGCCACTGCGAATACTCTGGCACGTTTCTTCTGGACACATATCTACTGCCGCTATGGATGTCCACGCCGTGTAGTTACTGACAATGGACCTGAAGTTAAAGCAGGTTTTGAGGAACTTATGCAACGTCTGCGTGTTCCTCATGTCCGGGTTTCTGGCTATAATAAGCATGCTAACGGAGTTGTAGAACGCCACCACTTTACGTTGAGAGAAGCTATCGTGACGAGCCTGTGGGAAAAACCTTGATGACTGGCCTAATAAATTGCCTCTGGGAATCTTCGCCGATAGAGTCACTGTCAGCCGTGTGACAGGCTTTTCCCCTTACCAACTACTTCATGGCACAGACCCCATATTACCTTTTGACCTCTTTGAGGCCACCTTTCTAGTCACAGGATTTAAACCTAATATGAGCACTACTGACTTGCTTGCTCTCCGAATACGACAACTGGCCAAACTCAATACTGATGTGAAACGTGCTGCAAACATGCTTGCTCAGTCCCGATTTAGATCGAAAGCGCATTTTGAACGGCGTTTCCACCACCGGCTGCTGAAGAGTGACTACCAAGCCAGGCGAGCTTGTATTGTTACGAAATGTGGGCATTGAAAATCAAATGAGCATCAAACGGAAAACAGAGGACCGATACTTAGGACCATACCAAGTGGTGCGAAAGAATGCAGGAGGAGCCTATATCATTAGTGAACTGGACGGAGCCGTTTTTACTCAGAATCCAGTAGCCGCTTTTCGTCTTTACCCATATATTACCCGACGACACCCATTCATGCAATCTGACAGTGGCGAAAGTTCTTCGGATGACACCGACGGCTCCAGTGAGGAGGAAATTGACTCGGATAACGAGTAATCGGCGATTCCATGCCGAGAAGGAGGATGCTCGGCTGACTCTGTAAAACCATAACCATTAAAAGGAAGTCAGCCTTGAAGCGTACCTAACATGCAACTACCCACTCCGCCTTCCTCCCTCAAAGTCACCATGATCCCACCAACCCAAATCACTCGCCACAAGTCCACAGACTCTCTGGCCTCCCTTTCTTCTTCTGGAAGTACCATTGTCGTGCCATCCAACAGTGCTCGTAACTCGTTTTCGTCCTTCACTGCTGAGGACCTCCTAGAGCTGGAAGCGGCCCGAGCTTCCAGTCACAATGCCTATCGCATCTGTCTTGACGATAACTCGATCAGCGAGGTAGCACCCGAGGAGGATAGTGTATGTCGCCTGTGTAGAAAACATATACAGACGTGACTCATCAAGTTATCAGGGCTTCCGAACTTTTATATCAGGCAATCAACGACCACGAATACCCGGCTTGCGATATAAAGGAACCACCCTTCAGCCCAGCGCGTCCTAACACTCCCATTCAAATCCACATTCATAAAACGATTACTCAGACTTCGGAAACCACTGTCTAAGTTTTTCATCGAAAAACCTGGGGATCTCCGGTTGGGTAGGACCTCAGAAACCATTGAACGAACCAACACTCCTGTACGCATGCAGCCTTACTTGCCGTAGCGCTCCAAGCCGCTATGAACACCCTCTTACCATTATTCTCACAGGTCCACCACAATCGCTACGATGAACGAGAGGTCAAGCCCAAACCATCAGTCTGCAAACCTGAACCTGATGAAGTTGTAACCCCATCTATGCGACAACAGATTTTCCAAGAGCGTGCGGTTAATAACAAGCTCATTTCTGCCGCCTTGAATCCTGTCATGTGTGGCAACGCGTACCAGGTGGCCATCTCTGTTTATACCGACAGCCAGACCGGGGAGAAGTATTTTTGTATTTCGACCGGTCTGCCATACCTACTCAAGAGAGGCGACACACTTGTCACCCACGAAGGTTTGGAGGGGACGTGGAAGGTAAAAGACATCTGGACGTCTGATTTTTGGTGGGCGCACGTCAAGCTCTACAATTCAGAGCGGAAGGAAGAGGCACTGGTTCGCATCAGCTATGAATACGCCAATGCTCGTTTGGTGTCTGGTACTATGGTGGGCAACTGGCTGGCCGAAGAAATCTCTCAAGCAATTACTAAGCTTTGTCGTGCAGGTCAGGCTTTCCAACGAGACGTTTATAGCCTTGTGAAACATGTGGTCCAAGTGCTCTTCGAAAAAGGAGATACAAACACGCAATCTTTTTGACATTTTAGCTATACGTACGATACATATATGTTTTGTGTAGATGAACGATCCCTGACTGATGCTCCTTTTTGAATTTGAAAGGATTTAGCCTTGCTTATGTTTTTCCTCTATCAACTGAGGGCAGTTGAAAAATCTGTTCGCCGCGGATGTCAAGCCTGAAAAGTGTTTGGCATAAAGAGGAAAAACATAATCAGTTGTAATTTCCTTTCAAAAGAAAAAGAACAACCAAGCTGGCCGCTGGAAGTCACGTGATGTGTCACTGTGACAGATGGCATCATTATGACATCATTGGGAACGCTCCGCAATGATGTCATACCTTGAAAAAAGCATAAAAGGAGCTCAGTTTTGGATGCTAGAGTAGATAACCCCCACTAAACTTTCCCTCCCACTCATCCTCACATTTGAGTTGACACTACTGTGTGTACACTTGAATACATCTTACCTCTTTTGGACGATTTTGATCTGACATTTGATCCCATCAAACGATAAGGATTAAATAAGCTAGAACCCCCACAAGAATATTAGGAGTACTCACTGGCAGTCCTCTAGTATTTCTGACCTTCACAAGTCTTTGGTAGACTTGTACGTGCGATATATACGAATTGATTGGTTTCCGTTAGCTAAGGCAGTTATCTGGAATTAATCCCCGCAAGCCACGTTTACCTGGAATTCGCTTTGCCCCGGGCGCATAAGGTTTTCTTCGAACAAGAATAATTGTTAGATCGCAAGCACCTAGTCAGCCCAACTTGATCACTCATTAAATTGACTCATCATTTGGAACTGCTGTGTTTGGATTAGCATAATTTTCTACTTCTGCACGTTACGATTGAGAACTTGTTTTGCCCTGGTGCGCATTAGGTTTTCTACCCAGTTGTTTTTTTTAGTTCAGCAAGCCAGAATTAGTCATTTACAGAATTGACTCTATCTTGGTTCATTATATCCCCCAATAACCATTTCTCAAATAATCCATTCAGAGTGAAATCTGAATAACCTACCATCACCTTTCCCACGAACTTATACGTGAAGTTCTTGGACAAAGTCGCTCCCAGAGCTTTACGTTGGAAAACAAATTTCCACTCGACATCATCGCGTCACACAAGTTACCATCACGTGTGCGCGTCTGTTTGATGCTGTGCTGCGCGGCACGCCCAAGATACTGTAACATGCTATTTCTCTACTCCCGATTCAATCCAATCCAATCCCGCTAGTCCGATCCGGGGAGTGTGGGCTAAGACTTGGGAATGCTATTTTTGTTGGACTCTCCTACTTGGCTCCGAGTCTCTGTTTGTGTACGTCGGATGTAAAAGAGATCTAGATAAAAGTCCCATTTCCAATGATCTAGGCAAAGCTGACCCTAGTGTATCGGTACGTCGGTTCAAGCTACAACGGAAGGCACTGCTACTCACCTCCAAAAAATTTTGTGACTTGTCTTCGCCACAAGACTGATCGATTGCTAATGATCCGGTATCGATGCGATTGCCATCGTCGACGAGCTCGAGCAAAAAACTTGCGACTCTAAGGATAAGGTACAAATATATATATAACATTGGGCTTTGCGGTTGGTTGGTGCTACTGGTATAAGTATCGTCAAGAAGAAAAGTCGTCAAATGCGGTGAATGCTGAAAGTTAGAAAAATGCGATGGTGTTGCCGACAGGTTAAAAACCACCCAGACACCCCTCACTCTCTCCGTCTCGAAAGCTGGTACCCGCCAAGGAACGACACAACGAGGAGACAGTGCATTTTTCCTTCTTAGAACGTGCCTCTTTGTCCTTTGACTTCCTCATCGACCGGTCACGAGGGGGTGAGATCGATGGCATGCGAGCAGAGAAGGCTCCAGCATGAGAATAAGAGCCTGGAAGGTCTTCTTCTTCGTACCCATCCTCGATTACTTGACGGCGAGGAGAGGATCTGCGAGAGCGGCGTTTTCGGTCCGATGATGGTGGACTAGATGAGGGCGGCGGCGATATTGGTGGAGGGTAGAATTGCGATGGCGGTGGTGCATTAGGGTATCCAAAGTAGGAGTACTTGGAACCTTCAAACGGTTAGACAGGGCGGTTAACTTTGAACAACAAGAGACAAACCATAGTAACCTATCGCCGGCTCAGGAGGAGGACTTGCGAACCCATCACTCTCGTCACTCGAAGAACTGAGATCGGGAATGAGGGGTGGAGGAAGATGTGAATGGAAGTTAGGTGTGGTGGCGGGGGACATCGAATAGTAAGGCGAAGGTATTGGCGGCTGGACTGGAAGGGGAATGTAAGGACTTGTGCGAGTAGGTGTTCGCTCTAGTTCTGTCTCGTCGTTATCATCTTCCCCATCTTCGTGCGTCCATTGAGCATCATAGGCAGCGATGGCCCTTGGATGTAGAGCTTTGCCGGTGATGAGTGGGTTGTGGCTGTTACCCGACTTGGGCTTCGACCCGTCGTAGTAGGTGCGACCAGGACAACCACGAGCTGGTAGTTCACATGCATTAGGTGAGACCTCTATCGGGGAACGGTCATATTGTGTGGAGCTGTGAGTGGCGAAAGTTCTGGCCAACGATGGCGACGACGGGAAGTGGACGTTGTGAGGGAGAAGAGGAGGGTGGGCTGGAGGAGCCCGTGTGGTTTGACCACGCTTGAGAATCGGCTGTGGCATTTAGGCCGTGTTACGACGAGCGAGGTATGCGAGACATGGTGGGCAAAAAGGAAGAAGGGTTATATGGGACAGCATTGCTGATCGCTTCCGGTCTGTCGTGACACAGCGTGACATCAACGAAGTAACTGTCTCAATTTCACTTTGAGCGTCGTCCAGGCATCTTTCTGCAATAAACTGCTTTGACCAGTCAATGCAGAATTCTCTGCATTGTCTTAAGCTTTACAAGCGCTCTCATCGTCGCTGGCCAGCATTCTCTAGCTGCCAATGTTTGCCGGCTAAAATCCCTCAAACGCAACCCGCCGCTGCTTGCCACAGCTTGCCACCGAGTCCAATGCCAAGACGTCTATTCCCGCTTGCTTCCGACCTTTACACCTCGGCGTTCAGCCCTCAACTTCTTGCCTCCCTTTCTCAACGTTCCGTCTCTACTCCCGTCCTTACTCCCCCGGACGGTGCTTTGTGCCAATTACAGACAACCGGCTCTCATCAAGGTACATTCACCAGACACGATCATGCGGGTCTCTGGGACCCACTACTGCAGCCAATCAATCCGTCTTTCACATCTGAAGCCGCGTCAGGCGGGCCTTATCGTTTCGACAGCTAAACCAGCCCAATCAATCTTTCTGTCGGGCCAGAAGAAAGCAACAATTTCTCGCATCACAAGGCCACTCCAACTCAACGCCTCGAGGTGTCTGTGTGCGAAATCACACCTTGGCTCAATGCATCGTGCTTGATACCACCGATTCCTCCTGCTCTTTGTTTATTAAGTCCTCTCGGAAAAAAAATCCTTTCAATGTTTCCTTTCTTCCGTGAACAATTTGCTCGATGATGTTCAATGAGAACCTTATCGCCAGCCAAAATGCGGTTTTAAGCTTGCCCAAAGGCATAATGCTGATAAAGCTTGTCTGGCATTTTTCGGGGATCGCTACGTAGGCCGCACCCTCAAAAATGCTTCTTCAGCTGGTTAAGCAGGCTTTGGACACGACCCGTCGAGCGGAGTTACTTATGAATGTGCAACATGACTTTACCTCTCCATCACCAGGCAACATCTCACCACCATGCTGCACTGCTTCAAGCCTTCAACACGTTCTATACATGGCAACAAGACAAGAATAGGAAAACGTTCCCATTCGGTGAAGGCAAGAGCACTCTCACTTCCCAGTGTCGTGGTCATGCGTTCCGTCTCGACTGGCAGGTCCCCACCAGGTTTGTGGACGCAGGACGACATCCTCCTGAGAAGATGTGCTAACTCCCGTCTTGCGAATGAATAACCCATGGAGCACGAGAACTCGCTTTTGCGGCACGGAAATATATCCCTATGTGGGAAAACAACCGGCCCCCCGGCACGACGCTCCGATAAATTGCACCCCCTGAGAAGAGAAGACAAAACAGTTGGCCATTGAATGTCAGTTGACTTAATCTCCGGCGACCTGTGCCGTGTGTCTCTCGTTAGACCGCTGGCAAGTCCCGCTCCTGTTTTGATCCTTCAACACCGACATCATCGTCAAGAATACAAGAACAACTTCAATCTGGGACCACTTTCTGAGCCACGTTCAGCCTCTCAAGCGTCCGTTTACCCTGGGCGCCGTCCGGCAGGCCAGACATTCCGTGGGACACGGCGGCTGGCGGGAGGTAGAAGGCATCGTGGCTGGTTCGGGGTTCGGTCTGAAACCATTTCCGAGGCTGGTAGATTTACGTCCTCCCTTTACATTCTCTGGTTAAGAGTGCGTTCAGTAAAAACTCAAACACGGTGTTTTGGGTTTGATGCTGGGGTTTGATCCCAACTGTCAAAGACGTGTCGTGTTTTTTTCTTCCATATATCACGCGTTTGGACGTGTTTACTAAGCTCAAAAAGTTGGGAAGGCAATCCACCAGTTGTTATTGTCTGGTGGAGTCCTAACTACCAAGTTTTGAGCCATACATTAGTGCAGAAATGAGGAAAGGAGTTTCATCTAACATTATCTACCCGAAGGCTCCGAGGTATTCCGCCATCAAACTCCTGGTTTCCAGCATCAAACACCGCGTTTGAGTTTTTACTGAACGCACTCTAAAGATAATCGCGTATCACATCGTTGGTGGGGCTGACAAACGTGTCTCAGTTTCGGTGAGGTACGTGGAACTCTACGCTTTCCGATTCGGGACCACTGCGGTAATTCTATCCTATCCTATCCTATCCTGCGGGCCACCGTCCAATAAGAACTGAACGGGGTATTGTCAAAGTATTGTAGATAACTGCAGCTTTTTCGTAGGGAGCAGGTGGTTTAAACTCGCCTCACGGTCTTTTTCCGGCGGCTCGAAATCTGTTGCTTGATTCTTTCGTTGGCACACTACGTCATTGCACTGCGCTAACAAATGTCCATGTGGGATGCGGGGGGTTTGTCTCGAGAAGCATCTTCGGGCCTTTTCGGAAACCGAGAAGCTTTTGTGATAAGGAGAATGAAAATTGAGTGCGTGCATTCCACAGTAACAATACAATATTTGCTGGTTTAAATAGAGAAAAGGGTTTGCTAGTGCTGGTTTCGTTACGAATCAGGTGTAAATGTTGATCGAGTTCAACTCGAAGTAAGCGTTGGTGAAGGCGGTAGGGTTTTGGTCGACATAATTGATACAGGTCGAAGGGCAGCCTGCCCCATTGTAGATGCCTGCCTGGCCTGCCCAATCACCACCTGCAAGCATCAGCAGGTTTGAGTTTTTTTCCAGTAGCACAGACGGAAAGCTTACAAAAAGTCAAGTTGATGATGATGTTGTTCGCACTGAAGAATTGTGGGAAGTTGCAGCTAGTGTTGGGGAAGTTGGCGGTTGGGGTTCCCTGCGATAAGGATAAGAAGTTGACGATGACAAGAGGAAAAAATCTCACCCAGCCAGCAGTGTTGACGCTTGTTCCCCCGGACCGCACATCTGCGGGGACGTTGGTCGCACCTCTAGGCCAGAACCACACATTGATGAAGGTCGTAGTCCTCTCAATAGCATACCTGACAAGGTGAATCAATGAAGGAACAACAAAAGACTTGTTCCTTACCAGCCGCCTCCACCAGCATTGAAACTTGGGCCATAGCTGTTAGCCGTGGGTGCCCTGACGCCGCAGCCAGTGTTGCCGTTGATCGCGGTGTTGCAATCAAGTTGGAGGGAAGTGCTATCCATCGAGCTTAGCCACACGAGAAAGACGTCAACTCCGACCTACCCGGTCTGCGTTCGCGTGGCAGGCATCGTGCATCCTAGTTATTCTCTGTTTCAACGAGGTCAGCAAAACAGAAAAGGGTTGCTTTTACCTGGAGACGTGTGCAAGGTAATCTGATTCGGGCCTTGGTCCTGAGGAAAACGTTACGAAGAATGGTGCTGGAGGAAGAGATGCAATTACATTCACGCCCTCCAAAATATCAACTTCTCCTCCTGCGGGCCAGCGCGCCTCGTCTGTTTCCCAACTATGATGCTGATCAGCGACAAGGAAAGAGAAGGCGATGGTTATATCTACATTGCTGGCCAAGTTCTATGCAGGAAATCAGTTCGATTCGCATGGGTGGCAAATGATACGAACCCGCATCCTTGAGGCATATGCTGGATGTCGAAGACAGCGGCGTGGGTCGTATATGCAGCATTGGTTCGGATGCGAACGGAGCTTCTTCCGACAGAACCCGAATCACTCAGAGTGGTCTTCGCATCAGCGCGCAGAACAAACTTATTTGCAGACGCAAAAGTAAGATTCTGGGCTTGAGCTGTGGCCATGTTGACATATTTCCTATTGCACAGTCAGTGTTTGTCCCAAGCAACGACATTATCTACCCACACTCTCCCATGGGTTGGATCAGAGATCGCCTCGAAGTTGAAGGCATTGTAGAAACCGCTGCCAACGATGTTCTGGCTGCGAGAGTACGGTCCGGCCAGCACAGGGCTGACGATGGACGCGAGTGCGAGAACGCTAGCGGATACTGTCTTCATTTGAGAGTGGACAAGAGTAAGGGAAAACCGCCAAGTTGTTTCGTTGAGGACTCGAGCAGAGTGACAATTTAAGGAAGTTGCCTCGGTCACCCATCTTCTTCGCGGTCGTCAGACGAGGCGGCCACAAGATAGTCATACGCGTGGCACAGGAGGATATATTCAGTTCCCGAGACCCGGATTGGGCGGTGTTTGGCGTTACAATCTATTATTCCGAGATATTTGGACCAACAATGACGCTTTCCTGTTGTTTCTAGGAGACGAGCAGCGTGGTTCTGGGAGCATAGTGACCAGTCGGATGATCCACCAAGTCCACATGGGGAGAGATGTCGTCCCGTGACGCAAAATCAGAGATTCTTCGGAGTCGAAACACGCCATATCAGACTCGGATCCGATTGAGCTAAGATTAAAGATTGAGCGACAATGAGCACAGCGAGGAGAGTAGACGAAGACCAGACTTGTAACAGACCCGCGTATGGTATTGCCGAGTATCAGGTTCGTAGCATGCTGATACAGACCGAGGAAGCTGAATGACGAAAGATGAGAGAGAATAACTTGGTTTGGCCGGGAGGTTGCCAAGGAACTGAAGATATCCTGATATTGTGCACTGCGGACACGAAATCCGATGCTTCTTGGTTGGTTAGTCCCGAGAGTGGTACCAAGCCCAGTTTGGTGACCAGTACTGGACCTTCAAAGGCGGTAAGAAACGTGTGCTTGGAATCACCTCTCAACTTGAATCATATGGGCTGCGTTTGCGCATCAAGAGGCGGCGCTGGCGATGGATCCTCTAGAGCATTCTGACAACATACGAACAAGCCTTGTAGAGGCCCATAGCGAGCACAGGTAAACACACGGCAGAGATAACCGTAAAATCGTCTTGAAAGTGGAAAGTTCCAGTTCTAGAGCATACGGTCACTGATCGTCACATTTCAACTCGTCATCCCTGTCATGGTTGTTGCGGTAAGAAGGTTAACGACCCATTTGGGTTGAAAACTCCGTTTCTTCGAGCGATGCACTGCGCGTGCGGGTGCGACACAATTTTCCTATAAAGCGTTGTCTAAGCAGACCTAATATTCCCTCACTATGCGCCGTTCTCTTTTGTTTTCTTTTCTCTGCACCCATCTTTTCCCACTCTACAGCGCGAAAGTTTGATCCAATCCTTTCCTCGGACATTGACACTTTCGTCCATAATATTCTTACCGCTTGGAACTCGCCCGCTGGCATAGCATTGGCCATTGTACGCGAGGACGGACGAGGCGGATGGTTCGTTGAGGTATAATCCGGAAACTATCGAGGACTTTTCGCGCTGACTGTCGGCAGAAAAAAGGATATGGTAATGCAACTGCAGATGGCAAACCGGTCACCACAGACACACTCTTTGGTATTGGATCTGAGTCCAAACTTTTTGACGTTCTGGCGACAGGCTTATTGGTTTCCAACAAATCTCTTGCCACTCCCATTAGCTGGACATCGAAAGTCGCGGATATTATTCCTGGATGGAGCCTTATGGACACAGTTTCATCTTCAGCAAGTACCCTTATCGACTTAATGAGCCACCGCACGGGCCTACCACGTCACGATGGTATGCTCAGTCGCAATGACACCCTGCCTACTATCGTCAGTTGCTCGTTCTTCTAAGTAGTTGCACCTAACCGGAGAGACAGATCAGTCGCCTGAAGTACCTCAAACCATCAACTGGCTTTCGCGAAACACTCCAGTACAACAATCTCATGTATGCAGTGTTGTCGTACTTGCCCACCGTCCTGCTGCCATCCAAGCCAAGTCTTGCAAAATACGTTAAAGAGAACATCTTTGACCAACTCGGCATGAAATCGTCCACATATTCCTTCACTTGGGCAAACGCAACAGGGAAAATGGCAGACAGCTTTGCACGAGAGGCGAATGCCACTACCAATCCACTGCTTCCCGGAAGAACACACCCGATACCTTTCTGGTTACAACTGGGTGGCGATCAAGGAAATTGTAAGTACGAGATGTCGATGACTAGATTATGATGACGAATTCTACTCCTAGTCGCCTCTGGTCCTGGAGGGGTAATCAGCAATTTGGACGATCTTGTGCGATATTTTGGCTATGATTCGGAGACGACCAACGTCACACAATAGGTTCTCTGGCTGAAAATGCTCATGTCTGATGGGGTCAATCCTGACACAAACATGACCGTGATACCAAAGGACGTTTTGACAACGATTACAACTGGAGTGACAGTGTGGCCATCTGAGGAGTGGGTGTGTTCGAGCAAATTTTTCTGCCTTACTCATCATATACGCAGGTTCCCCGAACTTTCTCCAAGCACCTATGGTGGAGGAAGGTATCGAAGTAACTATAGAGGTCACGGTAAGAAGCACTACTTATGACTTGAGGCTTGGAAACAAAACTGAAGGCTCTCTAGACTTGATTGAACATGGCGGTGATATTCAGGGTATTTTTTTCTCCAGTTTGTTTGGACGGTATCCAATATTTGGCCAGGATGGCACAGCATGATCACGTGGTTTCCCAATGATGGTGCTGGCATGATAATTCTCTCCAACGACGACTTGGTCTACACTCGCGAAGTCATTCGTTATCGTGTTCTTGATGCCCTTTTTTCTCTAGAGCCTGTGGACTGGAATGCGAGGTTCGAACCAAATTCATATTCATTACATAAAATAAATGATCTTCTCTAGATATCAACAAATTGCTACAGGTACTGCTGCTGCTCGTGCCGCATTTGTCAGCACATCTCGTCCTCCCAATGCTGCACCGCCCACAGTTCCAGGTGGCCTGGAAGCTATGCCAGGAACATACAGCAACCCTGGCTACACCTCCCTTGAGCTTTGTCTTATTACTCCAACGCCAAAATTGCAGTCAGATCCTTGCAAAGCACTTGCAACAACTCTCAGTTCGACTTATCCTCAATTTGTTGCCGACCCTCGAGTCCCCACACTAGCTTTCACGTGGGACCGCCTTGCCGCCCAATATGTGACTCTTTCGCACTTCAATGGGGATATTTTCAACCTGACAGGATGGACTGGAATGGTGTGTGGCTTTCGGTCCGTTGACAATAGCTCACGACTCTCCTTAGCCTACCGACCCTCGAAATTTGTCTTCTCCGTTGTGGGCGCTTGATGCCCGCTTTGCCGGGACCATTGCGCTGTCTGGTACTGATAAAAATGGCATCCATGGCTTCGGCTTCATTGGGGGGATATGGGGCGCTGGTGTTGGCGTCCATGATCCGATCGGCCAAACGCCTGAAGATAGAAGTGAGGTGTGGTTTACCAAGACTGAAAACAGTGCGACTCGCTTGGACCGTCGCAAGCCGTCTGACGAGCCTTCACAGCGTCTGTCCAGAGTTTGGCGCAAAATGTCGTTTCTGAACCATCAATGACGAGTGGTCCAACCTCCGGAGAGGAAAATCATGGCGTAGTCATAGTTGGGCTTCTTGCTGGGAACTTGGTCGTATTGACGGTGATTGCAGCTCTCGCCGTGCTCAACTACGTTCGCACACGAACAGTTAAATATCGACGAGTCAAGAGCCAGGAAATATAGCTAAAACAATATCTTACTTAGTTGTAGCTTAGTATATTTTCAAGCATCCTATTCGAATCCATAAGTCCCAACCGTGACTGCCATCTCGCTAAACCCACTTTCTCGTGCTCGGTGAACTCTACAGCCCTGAGGTTTTGGATTAGCTACTTCGTCATGCTAGCACTTTTTTCGGCCTTTCGAGACACTTGAGAAACAGCAAAAAGAGCCAGAGACTTGCCCAATCACTCAACGTAACTGCCATCAATTTAAACGTGACGGCGAATGTGCGATCACGTGTGTGTTGTTGTGTCACAGGCGAGTGTCACTCACACAGACTGTTTCTCGACTATGTGGGCAAAGCTGACGACCGCGCTCAAGCCTCGTCAGGACTCCTCCTCTTCCTCGCATGGCGATGTTATGGCTGGTGTCTACGAGCAGCATCCAAATCTTTCCGTTTTTCAGAACGAGCCTCAGCCCAGCCCACCACCATCCCCCTCCAAGAGTCGTATGGCCGTTTTCAAACGAAACACTAAAACATACGACGAGTCACAAAGAGCACCCTCGCCAATGAAACTTCCGGGAATCACGAAAAAAGTCAAGTCCACTTTCGGTATACATGGCAATTGTGCGTCTTTATGTTCTTTGGTTTCTTCCTGTTCACAATGTCGCTAGCGTCGCAACTCTCACTAGGCCCATCGACACCTGGTCCTACCGAGCTTAGTCGTGTCGACTCACGCGACATGATGGCTCAAGCTGGCTCGCAGAGCAAGCGTCGGTCGTCTTTTAACCTCCTCAAACGTGGTTCTATCGATGAATTGCGTTCCCCCCCTCCGGAGCAACTTCAATCACCCACCAATGCTGATGAATCCCGACCCTTCGACCCAGCCACTCCCTTTGATGGCAAGACTGGTTCTGTGCGATCCATCCTTCGCGATCGAAACACACCTGGGACTGGGCAGAATGTCCGCTTTTTTTCACGAGACGCATATCGCGTTCTCAGTCCCAACCAGTCTATGGAAAGCGAATATCAATCCGGATTGCCTGCCACGAATAACGCTCTCAACACGAATGATCCATTTCCTACTTCAATCGACGTGGGCCATAACTCTGCCCCACGGTTCGGGAGCTCAAACAAGTTAAACAAGTCGCGCCTAACGGTTGCTGAAATCTTCTCTCCGGAGGTTGATGCAGAAGCAAAGGCCGAAATAAACAACTCGTCACTTGTTTCCGAGCTTCCACCTATCCCCCCTCCCGACTTCAATTTATTTGAAGTCTCGCAAGACCTCGAAATCCCCATATTACCTCCCCCCGGTCTTGGCTTCGAGGTTGACTTGAATGAGGGTGGCAAGCCGTTGACATCTACACCGTTCCGTGACAAGGGGAAAGGAAGAGCATTTGACCAACAACACGAAGTGGACGAGTCCATTTTCCATGCCAAGGAGAAGAGTCCTCGAATTCCCTCCGTCTTGCATGACCGAAGCAATTCATTCAGTCTTGGCCAAACTCACTTCTATTCGATGGCCCAAAGCGACCTGACTGACTCGCCTGCACGTCGAGAAACTCCCGTTAGTGCCAGGTCATCGCCACTGTCAGCCAAAGACATTTCGACGGCCTCTGCTGCATCCTCGCCCGGCACCAAAGGACGAGGTCGTTCTCTCAGTGACACTGTTTTCATGTCCATGCTGCGCTCACCTTCTCCCAAACAACCTGAAGCTGACATCAATGACGACTTGTCGTCTGATCTCATTGTTTATAATAACCAGCCAGGCGAGCCTGATCCATTCAGTGCTAATGCCAACACGTATTATACTCCGCAAACCATGATCCCAACTACTCCGCCAGAGTCTCAAGCTGGCTCAGTTCTTAGCCATGCACGCCAACCATCGAACCCAGAACAAGCAGATATGATTTTTTTCGCTCCAAACGCAATTGGCATTGCAAAAAGAACTCTGTGGTCAGTTCGAGGCCGATCTACGAGCGCGAGATGAGCTAGTGGAGGTGCTGGGGAAGAAGCTTGAGTCAGTCGAGCGCGAAGAGTCGAAGAAACGTGCGGTACTTAAACAATGGAAGAAGAAGGTTCTTGAGCTTGAGCGTGCGTGTCGGCTGCTGGAGGAAGAAGTGGATACTTCGCGACAAGAGAGTCTCGACAGGAGCGCGATAGATATGGCCAGCAATGTTGCTTTGGTGTCGTTGCACCAGCAGATCGCCGATCTAAGCAGGGAGAAGCAAAGTTGGGAACGCAAAGAAGGTCTATTCCGCCAGGAAATTCAAACTCTAGAGCTCAAGCTGAAGGAACGGGGCGACGACATCGACAAACTGAAAGAAACTTTGTTGACACGTGATGAGAGTGAACGGGAACTCAAGCTGGGTATCAGTATGGTGAAAGAGCAGATGGAAATGATGGGAAACGTGAGCGTTGGTCTCATTGACGAAACAGAGCTCCGAAAAATTGCGGCTGGGGAAGGCGGAACGGCTGAATCTGCTTGGGCCGAGGAAAAGCATGAACTGATGGTTGCTTTGGACAAGGAGAAGGAAGAGAAGGTCGAGCTAGCTGCAGAGGTTGATGCATACAAGCAACAACTAGACGCGCACGATGAAAAACTCAAGATCCTAAACCAGGAATTAGAGGCTCAATGGTCAAACACGGAACACCTCAACGAAATGTTGGAGACTTGTGAAATGACCAAGCGGCAGCTCGAAGCCGAACGCGATGCGCAGAAATCCGAACTTGAAGAGATGAATGAGCGGCTTGAGGGCATGGAGGCAGAGTTGACAGAGGCCGACCAAAGATTGAATCAGGACGATGCTGACTATCAAGCACTTTGGGACGACCGCGAGGCTCTCCAAAAGGAGTACGATGAGGTATTCATTTAACGCTGCAAGGTTTTACCTGTACTAATGCTCTCATAGTTGTTTGCGCAAGTCAACGCCGACGAGAAGCAAACCGAGAGTGCCAAACAATCACTCCAAGAATCTCAAGATCGAGTGCTCGAGCTAGAGCAGGAACACAAGTATGCGTTGGACAACATCGCTCGTTTGGAAGAAAATATTCGGCGGCGGGATGCAGAGGTTTCTACTTACTCGCAGCGAATTTTAGAACGCGAGGCAGAAATCGAAGCGTTACAAGAGCAACTCAGTAGGACGAAACGCGAACATGCGACCGCCCTCGATGCAGCCTTGTCTGAGAAGACAGTTGAGGCAGAGAATCAGGCACGTGATTACCTGGATCGCATCAGCGACCTCAAAGGCGAAATGGAGCGTCTCCGCCGGCAAATTCACCAGCTGCAACAAGAAAGCGCAGATAAGGAAGTGAAGATTGTGCAACTCAACAAGCAGCATGTCCAAGACAAGGATGATATCCAAGGTTACAATATCGCGCTTGATTCGAAGCAACAAGAGCTAGAGTTGGTCAGTTATATGTCAAGTCTTTTCTTCATCGTGTCTGACTTTGTTAGATCAAACGCAAACTTGGTGTTCGCGGTACCGCTGGATCGACTCCGGTGCAACCATCCAAAGTTGGCCATCAACGGCGTGACTCTACGATCTTTTCGACCCCTAGCCTTGGCTCACGACCACCCTCTGTCATTTCAGAGGCAGGATCCGATGGAGGCAGCGCCGGTCCTGGGAAAATGCCTGCGCTTGGGAAGAGTACACGCTTGAATACATCCACAACAAAGTCTGCAACCACTCGGGTTGTTGGCTCTATGGGCCCACCGCCTGCCCCTATATCCAAACCCCGTGCTTCTCTCGGCACTCCGACCCCCAACACGTTATCGCGTTCCACTTCTGCGCGACCTTCTTCGTCAGCAGCAACCCCCTTGGTTCATCGGCGTGTTGCGTCTGCTACGCTTGATAATGCTACATCTCGTGCTGTCAAGTCGCGACAAACTGTCAATGCGAGTCCTGCTCCTGGCGAGAAGGAGAACATGAAATCCGACTCTTCTCGTCCAGCCTCCCGTACACTGGCGCGGGTCGCCGTTCCATCATAAACCCTTTTGTTTTTCTTGGACTTTTTTTTCTGATTCATTCATCTCTTATTATTATATCTTGCCCTTCTATTGTTTAAACTTGTCCTTTGCTTCTTGCTGTCGATATGCTGTGCCCCTGCTATGAACATCCACAAAGCATCCCCATCCAATCATCATCTATCCACTGTACTTGCTGTCGAGACCATATAGGTTATTGCATAGATACCTGCACAAAAACTCTTATGTACCAATATAACCCTTTTTCATACACATTCATCCAGCATTTGAGGTTTTCGGCCAATATTCATCTGTTCCAAGCAAGTTCTCTTTCTAATAATTCGGTCAAAGTCGAGCACGTGATCGCGTCTTGGTGTGTGCAACCTTGGAAAGCAATTCAACCATCCTTCTCCTCGATTTGCTGATCTTGAAATTTATCTTTAGTCCAAAACCTCCCTTCAGCTGCCCTTGAGCCAATTTTGTGCGATCAGATTCGCATTGGCACAGCTTTATTATATGGTTAAGCGATGCCTTGACACCTTTCATCTCTCTCCCTCCAGTCATGGATGAGGCAGAGTCGGTTACCCATTTCTTGTCATATCCAATGTCGCTGAACATTCCGACAGGTGCTGGACATGTACAAGTTGAACATAACCGCTTCCGCTCCAGACGACCTAAACTGACTGCTGGAAATAGTTGTCAGAGCACACGGGCTGCAACTGATGCGCCCGGAGCGCTCATGGCGCCCTATCGTCACCATTGAGGTGGATAAGACCGGCGCTCTGTTTCACGAGACAGTGCTAGGCTCCGACGGCCAGAACGTCAACATGAAGGATGTTTTTAGATTGTGGGTCCTCAACCAAGTTTTGCTCCAGCTTACCTGCTTCTGTTTGCAGACATGGAGCAGACCTAGCGTCACAGGTTGATGTCAAGATATTTCACCGCTCGCAAAGCAAGAAGAAGGGTAAAAAGAAAACACTGGTCGCGTCATGTACCTGTTCTCTTGGAGAAATGTGGAAGAGAGATGGCATTAATGCTAGTGAGTGGCCCGTTGCATTCAAATTCCAGTGCATAGTGATGGACGGAAGAATTAGAACTGCGTTTACAGTGTCAGAACCCCACCAACCGTTCTGTCGCAAGTCGTGGCCGCCCTCAAAAAGGTTTAGTTCCAAGTGTTCATCAGAGCCTTCGCTCATCGCAATAGGAGCACTTCTTCACTTGAAGCTACGCCCCCCTCCATCGTTTCCGTCTCCTACTGAACTGGCACTTGCTGAAGATGAAGAAGGCTATGATTCCGACTCGTCGTCTGGTATGTCATATCCCTTCATCTCCTTATGCCGATTACCGAAACCACGTGCACTCTAACAGCAAGCAGCTCGTGTACGGTTGTCACTCCGACTGTCGCGGAAGTTCGACCCCAGCCTACCCTTCGGCGACGGCGACGTGTTCGCGGCTATGCTGTCAACTCAGACGAGGAGGCAGAGTCTTACTCTGAAACAGACGATGATGATCCAGAATTGGATGAGGTCAAACCTTTCAACTTCGATGGGGAGGACAGGCGCGATGTCTTGTCGGCGCCTGTCAAAATCTTGTTCAGCCCGATCGCGTGGGTGGCAGCTCAGCTACTACCCCAATACTCTGCCCCGATTCCGATTTCTCCTTACCCTCCATCATACAACTTTGCCCAGCGGACAATATCAACATTCACACGATATTCAGAGCTGCAGGATGCCCGAACAGAGTCGAAACAAGAACAAATCTATGATAGTATTCGCAGTGAATGGGCCTACACTGCTGGCTTCGTGAGGCCATTTGCATTCCCCGCACATTACCTAACCAGATTGCAGCTCGGGACTTTGAGTGGAGTAAACGCAGCCATATTTTCCCTCAGTCCAGACTCTCTATTCGAGGTCAGTCCCCTCGCGGAGAAAGCCGTTGTTGCGGGCATCATTGCTGCAGTACTTGGCATTGTCTCGACTGCCTGGTTGTGGCTCCGATATGGTTACGCTGATTGCGAAACTTTCTTTGTGAGTGCTCTCCCTTACGATGCGAGTTCGTCGCTCATCGTTTCTCTGGTAGAGACGCGCGACCGACATTCTTTCCGTGGAAAACAAGCCTTCGTTCTTCTTCTTTGCACTATCCGCCCGCATTCCGGGGTTACTGAGCTTCATCAGTGGTGGCGGACTACTGCTTTTTTTCATCGTCATCGCGTGGAACTCATGGCCTGCCGCTGTTGTTGTGGGCTGCTTCGGCGTTGGACTGTTGATGGGTCTCCAATGGCTTGTGTTCTGTGTGCTTTGGAGTGTCAGGACGGCCAGAAAGGTGTGGCGATTTCTTGCTGGCCGTGGACCTGCCAAAGACGAGGATGTCAGCGAAAAGTGCTGATATTTGTCAGTGCCAGATTCATGTGTGTATCATATAGCCGCTCGTATTTTATCCTATCCAGTATTGTTTTCAGCGTGCCACCGTATACGGCTGCCAAACCAAATACAGCTTCAACTTGCGTCACACGTTCAGATGTCGGTGTGACAAACCGTGACTCGGTTATTTTATCGCACCCGCTCTGCCGTTCTGAGACCCACAGAGAGAAAGGCTGTTACCTCGTCAACATGGGTTGGGCGCTTAACACCATCCGAGGCTCATCCACAGCGCCGAACTCGTTGAATTCTAGCCTCGCTCGAACCAGGCACTCTCCCATATTCCTTTAACCACGTCATCACCCGGAACTTTTCGAAGAATCCAAGACAGCTGTTTGCACCGCATTTGGACAGTCAGTTTGAGTGGCTTAAAGGAGGGTTGGGGCTGGCTATCTTAAGGACCTTCCGGGGTGGAACACTCCGTTAACCAACATGTCGTTTGGAGAGTATTCTCTCCCAACAGACACACTTGCAGCAATTCTTGGACAGTGTGTTGATATTGATTCTCTTCTTTGCTTGTCTGACTCACGATGTTCAAGGTATCCTTTCTCTGTCGGCCTATTTCGTGAGCTATTACAGAACACAGACGACGCTCGAGGCTCGAAGCAAATATTTGTGCTCGACACGAGGAATCACGGGACGACTACGTTAGTGCATGATAAGCTGGGCGATACACAAGGACCAGCGCTTCTCGTGTTCAATGACGCGTTTTTCTCAGAGTCAGACTGGGACGCGCTCCAGAGCATCCATAGGAGTTCTAAGAAGACGGATTCATCGTGCGTGATTTCACGTTCCTTGTTCATATTCACTGATTCCACGACGCAGTAAGATTGGAAAGTATGGAATTGGGTTTCGTAGCTGTTATCACATCACAGACAATCCACAAGTCATCTCTGGGTCGACGCTTGCTATCCTAGACCCTCACCACCATTTCACTTCGTCGGGTGGCACGCGCTTTGAATTCCCGCAGAAATCACAGGAAATCAAGGACCAACTTGACTCGTTCGACTTCTTCCTCTCCTCAGACGCGCATGAGGAGGCCTTTCCTGGCTCTATCATTCGTTTGCCCCTCCGTAAGCCGGGAACACAAAGCAGCATCAGCTCCAAGTCCGTCGATGCTATCGAAATCCGTCAGCTATTCGATGATTTTATCCGCGAAGAGATCGGGATCTCCTTGCTGTTTTTGAAGAATGTCACCTCTGTGGAAGTACACCAAATAGACCCGCAAGGCATCCGCCAGTGTCTTGCCAAGGGCACCATCAGCAGGTCAGAGTCCGTTTCCTGGTCAGTCCAGAAGGAGCGGCATACTTCTTTTCAGTGCACCACCACCGTCGAGACACCAAAGCAAGGTCGGATTGAAAAGACCTGGCGAATTGTGCATTCGTATTTCCACGATGGAGAATCAACTTCCCTCCTTTCCCTTCGCCTTGGTCACGATCCCCGTCCTGTATTAGCGAAGCACAAGCTACTTTCCGAAATGGCCATAGCGATTCCGCTATCCATACTTGACACTGAGGAGAGGGGCGGACGCTTATTCACTTATTTGCCGCTCCCTCTTCGCACTGGTTTCCCTGGCCACGTTCATGCACTATTCGCTTTGACTGCGTCACGCCAGAATCTCAACAACGGTGGAGAAATTGGCATCGTACGGGGATCAGAAGACAGGTGAATATTCTCTTTCCCAACATCGGCTGTTTGTATTATTGCTTATCGCTGGCAGCGTCCTGGTTGAATGGAATTATATTCTGTTTGAAAGCTTTCTACCACGAACGTGGACCGCTTTATTGAAAGTTCTCCTCCAGCAAGACCAACTTGGCGATGTGTTTCGCGCATGGCCTCCTGCTCAGAGTGGTGTTTTCGGAGGTGACACCGCTTACTGGCAGGCACTCCCTGCGAAGCTTTTAGAATGCATTGTCTTAGCCAAAGCGGAGGTCTGGCCTGTCTTCCGTGGCTCAAAAGCAGATGGGCAAATCCTCTTCGCTGAGCTGGGTTCAGTCTTACTGGCCCCCACGGACGTGGACGATGCCACGCTTTTAGCGCTCACCAGCGCAGGACTGCGGTTGTGCAAACTACCCGAGTACATATTCAAGCTGATTAACAGCGGTGGAGTCAGCTCTGCTCGATACACACTGCTGTCTCCGGCTGTTACCTATCGGCAATTATTAGTCCGTTTTGTCTGTTCTTTTTGTGGACACGTTGGCTAATTTGAAGGCCAGACTCGTGTCGCTGAACTTCGAGCGCTTGACGACCCCCAGCGGTTGACTATTCTCGAGTATTTACTCCGCGGTAACCAGTTGGAGAACATTGCGGGACTCCCTCTCCTTCCCCTCATCGACGGGACTTTCTGCACACCCGTGAAAGCGGGGACTGGAGATACGAATATTACGATTATGGATCAGCTTGAAAGCGATATCTTTGGCAGAGTAGAAAGCCAAGCTGTATCCCTTCCTGCGATTCCCCCGCGACTTCGAGATCTACTTCGCAGTGAAGGGCCCACGACACTCAATCTTATTCTCCTTTCACCCCAGCGAGTTGCGGAATTTCTTCACATGTCACCGTTGGGGTTTGATCTCACTCAAAGGCATTCCGGGAACGTCACAGATGCACTCGTTGGCTGGCTAAACCGATTTTGGGCTTGGGTGGGTGACTGGCCGATGCGAGATGACCTCTTCTCCCGCGTCAATACCCTGTGTCTTGTCCCCGCAGATACCAGTTTAGAGTCTCCAGAAGTCGGTGTATTCTCGACCCACGTTACCGATCTTTTTGCTCTGCAAAAAGTACTGCAGGGTCTAGGAATTGCCTTTCTCCATCCTTCGTTTTCGGTTGAAGCACGCAAGGGACTTGGCTTTTATCCCCTTGTTCTCAAATCAATTTTTGACATTCACCTTGTGCTCGACCGCATTACGGTCGGCTCAGACGTGACAAAACTCGATGCGGATGGGTTGTCGATACTTTCAAAGCACGTGGTCGACTGCATGATCCAAGTTGGTCCTCAGCGGCCGCTGAATGAGGAACAGCAATCCACCTTGCGATCTCTGCCTATTTTTCCTCTCTTGCAGCCATCGGTTATAACTCCTGTTCCCGTGACCGACGAAAAGCCCTCGTCTCCTTCAAAGCGCTTGTCTGCATTCAAGTTGCCCATCCTCCACCGTAAATCGAAGAGCTCTGCTAGTAACATCATAATGCCCCTGCCCAGCACCTCACCTCCTGAATTCAAGAGTATTCCAACACAAGCCAAGGTGTACGGTATTCCTACAAACAGCAGTGTCCTCCTTCCCACTATCGATGGAGTTGTTTACCTTGACGGTGCCCATATCAATCTGGCTATTTTGGGACAACTTTCGACTACTAACGCCATACCCCTACTACCGTTGGATATCCTTAATCTTGCGGTCGAGCATTTCATTGGGCAGAAGAAGACCATAAGGGCTGCTCTTCTCGATTACATCAACCAGAATCGAGATTCCCTACCCCCAAACCTACTCAAGACCATTCAGCAGGTCCCTTTTGTGGCGGTACTTGATGGCACAATGCGCTCGCCGTCTTTCGTCGTTGACCCAACGAAACCAGAGCTGATCGCCATATATGCTCAACAGCAAGAACGCATTCCGGCTGCAACACCAGAAGACATTATGATCCTTCGACATTTGCGTGATCTTAACTTGATCAACACTGCGCTCACACTAGAAATGGTTACCGAGCGAATTGAACACATATCGCTGCTCTCTCAATCCAACCCTTCACACGCGACAAACCTTTCCTTCTCTCTTCTCGCTACGCTTCATTCGTCAGACCTCGATTGCTCGACACTCTACATACCCTTCGGCGCTAAATGGTTGCCCACCGATCGGGGCCTGGTCAGTACCACCGAATGTTTCGACAGCAATCGAAAGACGGAACTATTTGATGAAGTCCTCGCCGTCCTTGATCCGACAGTTGCCATCTCTGAATCATTGCGAAAGAAACTTGGTTGGGATCAGCCTCTTCATTTTCGTACTCTTCGATCCCAGTTTGAGGTGGTCGTCATCCGTGGCGCATCTACCGCAGCTGTCAAGCTCGATCGGCTGATTCGTGAGCTCAGCGAACGCTCTCTTACAGATACGGAAATGGGGGAATTGAGGACTATTGTTGTGGGCCGTCAGTGGGTACCCATTGCTCCAGGGCGCCTCGCATCCACAGACCTGGCTATCTTCTCAACAACATTGGGCTTGCGCGGTTTCCATCGCATCCCAGCTTCTTTAGCTGAACAGCCGCAAATCTGTAATTTTTTGGCGCGGATGGGGTGTACGGATAGGTATGCCTCAAATCTCTTGTTACTAAACTTTTCGCTGATATTACAAGGCCCTCGGCAGGATTTCTTGTGGCCCACTTGAGGGCGTTGGAATCGGTTTCTGCATCACGTGATATCACAGACGAAGCGATTGCATTGCTCTCTGTGATTGCTGAGGACCTCAAGTCGGTCGACCGTGCCCAAGTTCTTGTCCCTGATAATAATGGAACGCTACGGCCCATCTCCGAGGTTTTCTTTAATGACGTTGGTGACCGTGCTTTCTTGATTGATGTGGGAAAGAGATATATCGCACATCCCAAGCTTTCTGACGAGTTGAGCAAACGGCTTATCATGGATCGTTTGGGTTTCTCCTCTGTCGAGTTGACCCCTGGCATTGACATGGGCGAAACTTTGACGACGACGATTCGCAACACTTTGAAGCAATATTCTGAAGCTCAGATTATCAACGAATTCTTCGCCAATGCATGCGACGCTGAGGCGAACAAGTTTGGTGTCCTTATCGATGACTTTGGGGGTTCCAAAACAAACAAGCTACTTTCTGCGGGCATGGCCCCATTCGTCAATTGCCCGTCCATCGTCATTTATAACAACGGCAAGTTCACTGCGAAAGATTTCGAAGGCATATGTCGAACGGGAATCGGTGGTAAGGCGGACAAGACCAACACCATTGGCCAATTCGGTCTCGGAGCGCTGTCAATGTTCCATTTCACTGAGGTAGGACTTTGTTGCCTACTTGGTTGAATCTAATACTCCTGCAGATGGCTATGATTGTATCGGGCACGAAAGTCATGTTTCTTGACCCGTCTAAGAACCACTTGCCAATCCAGGGTACTCCTTGGACTCGACCCATCTATCTCTACCACTAATATGTCATTAGGTCGAGCATCACTTCTGCTACCTTTGGATCAGGTCAAACGGTTCGCAATCTCCAATCGATCTCATGCTCTTCATACTCATCTCCTCTTAGTTGGTATCCTGACCATTTACAGCCACTTGATGGTCTGTTCGATTTTTCCATGAAGCAGAATGGGCAATATCACGGGGTCTGTTTCCATATTCGAGTCTGTTCTTCCAACTAACCGTTTATTTACAGACGATTTTCCGCTTACCTCTACGTCGTTCCTCCCATATTCTAACATCAAATGCTATTCTGACATCACCTCGCAACGTGACTGCACAAGCAGTATGGGACAAGATCGTCCGACCCTTCAAGAGCTCAGCTCAACTTTCGCTTTTGTTTACTTCAATGGACCAAATTGCGATCTATACTCGAGACACTCGAGGTCATATACAATCAGGGTGGACTATCTCTGCTTCTCGTGATGGTCTCGAAACGGTATCGACTTCGCCTCGTTTACAAACCCAAGTCGTCCGCATCCGTGTCCCAGGATCGGAGATTGGCACGGAGGAATTCAAAGTTGTTTACACGACTCGCTCTCAGAGCGACATTCCTTCACAATTCTCCCCACTTGTAGCCCCCCTATCGACTCAGATCACCTATCGTTGTAGGCATGGCAGCACCTCTCTTCCAAACCCACTCAGACATGAACTTGTTCTCGGCGCTGCCATTGCCCTTGACGAGCACCCTACCGGTTCACCTCACCGCCTCGTTTATACTGTCTCCAGATCGCAGGAATATCAGGTTGGACGAGTATGGTTCTGAATCCAAGTACAATCGTTGGTTACTGAGTGATGTCGCTCCACCACTCTATATGTTCTTGCTGGAGGATTTATTGCGGACTCAGGCCCATCTTGGCAACGCTGCTTGGTGGCCGGGGAATCGTAGTAACCAAGATGCTGTCTCACAAATTTTCGTCGACGCGTTCTATTCTTCTGCCCAGCTTGGCTCTACGAAGCGTCGCATCTGTGCAAGTGTCTTCGAAACGCAGCAATTTCGCCCAAATGATGTCCTGCTGGGGAGTGATGAACCAGTTCCGATCAGCAAGGTTTTGGGGTTGCTCAATGCACCTCACATAGTCCGGCTCCCTTCCAAGATTAGGGAGCGCGCGGCAGCATCTATGAAGATAATCAGCCCTCTTATCGTGAAGAATGAGCTCAAGGACAAAACACGACTGTTGGCTAGTTTGTTCCAAAAAGGTGAAATTACAACGCGCGACATTCAAAGCGTTGTCGATTACCTCTGCGAAGATAGGAGCGTCAGCCTTGATGGTCTCGGAGTTTTACCACTGGCCAACGGAAAATTAGCTGTCTTCGGCTTATCTCCAAATTATTTTGTTTGGAAGCCTACTCAAGGTCGTGAATTATTCAAGTCCGAGTACTTGGTCGCACCGGATTTCGTTGCGGATAAGCTCCTCGATCGTGGTTTGAATGTCAGCAAGTTTAAACAAGAGACCATGGATGTGTTGATTAAGCAGCACTTTCGAGATGGTTCCGAGAGACACCTGTCTTTGGTCGAGGAAGAATGGGTCAGGACTTTCTGGGCTGAATATCCCAGTTTTGGATTGCCGCCCAACACGAAATTCACCAATTACCCGCTCGTCCGCACAACTAAACCTGGCCGGTATGTGTCGATGGGACATTCCTGGACAATAAATGTTGTTCTTCTTGGCAATTCGGATCCGTACTTTTTAGCAGGCGTCTTATCCGAGCTTGGACTTGCTGTTGTGATTTACGATAGCAAAGAACTCGCCAAACCTTTGCGCGACCAGCTGAAAGCACATCACAACTTCACTTTCGACCGTCTTCTGCACTACTTCCAGAAGATGGAGTCGTCGATCGATACCCGGTTCAGCAAACTCCCTCCTGCGATGCATGCGGAGTTCGCAGAGTATGCCCGGAACAAAGTCATCTCGACGCCAGAGAGCTTGATTCCGATAGCAGCCGCGTTGCCCATCTGGAAGAAGCTTCAAAAAGATCAAGAAACCACCTTACACAAAGCCTCGTGAGTGGAACTCAATTAGTTCATAGAACAGCTATTGAAACACATACCAGTTCCTTGAAGATGCTGCCTTTCGGAATCTCGAGGGCAACCGCCTCTCATTTCATTGGAGTCCCCTCTGTCGAATACAATGCTGCCCTGGTGCATCTCAAAGTCGTACCGATGGATTTTAATCAATTCTGGTCTGTTGACTGAACCGATTCCTTGAAACTACTCTGACTGGATCTACAGGACCAACCTCAAGTTGCCGACCGTCTTGTCATCGGAAGAACAAACGGCCTACAAACAACTGCTGACTGCCATGCCTTCCAATTTCATCTACGATCCCGAGGCAATATTGCTACCAGACGGCAACAGACGACTTGTGAAAGCGAAGTCTCTTTATGTTCGACACGCCCTCTTCGTCGCTGCCTTTGGTTCTGATGAATCTTCAACGCATTTCGTGCTTGACTCGTTCAGGGACCTGGAGCCGCGTCTGGTTGGAATGGGCTTGAGGAGTCATACCAACCTTGATATTGACACCTTCAAAGAATGTGCAAGATCGATTCAGGCGGCCACTGAGCAGCCCAACATCACCTCTAGGGCCAGGGTCGTTTTCAGGGCATATGCTGAAGACATGCCACTGCGCATCACAACTTTCCAAAGCAAAGTCTGGAAGGAGATAGATCGTATTCAGTTTGCCCCTCGAGAGCCTCTTCGGAGCAAAACCATGGCACTCGACGACACATCTCCATATGTGAAACCGCTTCCCACAATCGTCGCCCCAGACCAAGTGCTCCTCGCCGACAATGAGGCTATTGCGTGGACACAACGTGCCATCCTTCTCGTTTCTCCTGACGAGCGTCTGTTGCGCGCGAATCCTAGCTTTGGACAACCAACTCCGCGTGAGGTGGTCGAACATCTGCGGGTGCTTGCGTTACGAATCGCCAAAGACTTTACCTCAGATGTCTATGTTCTTTCAGACCTGGAAGCAACGTACAAATGGCTTGACGACCATCAAGACGAGGTGGAAGACGAGATTATAGAGTTTCACGACGAGCCTCTGTTTCTCAATGTAGATGATCCCAAATCAGACCCTTGGGTGTGGCACTCAGCGGATGAAATGTTTTTCAACATTATGGACGGTGGCGACCTCAAGTCGGTCAAGAAGTCCCTTTTACGGTTCCGTGATCTTCTCTCTGTTGCTGGTGTTGAAGACATCATACAAGCACCAGTTCCTGGCCTCGAGCGGTCTTCGATCGACACCCAGTTGGGCATTCTACGCAGGGGTTTCCAGATGATGCGTGAAGAGGGAAAGCTGACGGATGTTGTGTTTGTTTGTGACGATGAGACGAGGAAGCCTGCCCACAGAGCCTGGCTGGCGCCGATGAGCGAGTATTTGAATGATCTGTTTTGCGGGTCGTTCACCGAAGCCGGGCCGGGCACTGCTGACGACCCCATTGTTGTAGAGGTGGACTACTCTGGACCATGCGTCGAAACGGTGTTGGATTTCATGTATACTGTCAAGCCACCGTCAGTTGAGCGCCTCGACGACCTTCTCGATGTGATGGAGTACGTTTTTTTCTGTATCTTGCTCCCTGACTCAATACTGACTACTTTTCAGCCTCTCCAACTATTGGGGCCTCGAAGAACTGAATCTGCTGGTGCAGGCGAAAATCATAGGCAACTCGCAAATCTCACCCGCGACATATGAAGATGTCTTGGAACGAGCAACAGCGCTTGACGCCAAGTTACTTCTTGACGCTTGTGAGTTCTTTGCGCAAAAGAACAAGGAAGCGATTCTGCGTCTCAAAGGAGAGCTGAGTGGGAAACGACGGACTGCCAAGCGGCTTCCGAAGAAGTCTATGACCTCTGTTGTGTCGGGAGGTAGTAAGGACAGCGATACTACTGGGAAGCTGAAGATCAAGCCTATCAAGGCATCAAAGACGGTGGCCAAGGGTATTCTCAAGGGTCTAAGGAAGGTAGGGGACAGCTGGGACTTTATGTCTTGACTTTTATGTAGAATCTCACTCGTTGCTTGTATTTTTATGTGTTGCTATTATCAAGAATGTAGATTGCTGGTATCAATACCCGTTCAGGAATCTTTGATGAAGACATTCGAGCCCTTGAAGTGCTTTGTGAGGCGCGGTCTGAATGATTAGCAAGCAGTGACATACCTTGATGTTGAGGAAGGAATATTCTGCCAAATCTGTTGAACCCGCGCGGTTGTAATTTTGGTATACGAGATTTGGTTCAGTCCAGAAGGGTCGCAGTCCTGCAGCCTCAAGCATCTCCCACCATTTGAGGAATTCGGGGAATGTCATATTCCAAAGATGGAGCTCGAGCTGCAGTTGGCCGAACGGGAGGGGCCGGCCATTAGCAAGGTATGGTTCAATGAGTGCGGTGAGAGTTTCGAATTCCCAGTGCTCGATGTCAATTTTGAGGATGTCAATATGGGTGTGGCCTGATCGTATATGCCGTCAGCCGCAGTTCAGTCAAGGAACACGACAAGGACCAACCGTTCATCTTCATCAAGCTCTCGAGGGTATACATTTTGTCCTTGTCCTTCCCCGCCAGGCCATATGGTTTGAAATGTGTTCTCCCCAACGCGGAGGCGGGAATCTGTGGGCCAAACGAGCTGACGGTGTAGTCGTATCTTGGGTAGAGAGTTTGAGTGTAGGGCAGCAATCTAATAAACAAGTCAACTTACCCCCAGATCTGGCAGTTGTCGGTGTTGGCAAGTATTTCAGCCTCGAAAGAGGACTCGTAGTTGATTCCAACACTATACACAACGCAGTCGCGTTTCTTCTCCACGCGCGACACGCCACAGACCCATTTTCCGCCGTCTCCCAGAGCGCCTAGACGTTGAATCTGTCGAAATGGTTACAAATAGTTCGACATTTGAGTATTATACCTCGTGGGGACCTGGATGGAGACGGTCAGTGAAGCTCTACGGGCAAGTCACGACGCAACGCACAGTTGAATGCTGCTGGAAAGAAGTCCCACACGGTATATGGCGGCCATGGCGCGACCTAACCAAGCAGCCTGAGCTGACTGATACCAAGTAAAAAAGTGCGCACATTCGGAGGGAAGCTATATATGGCGTTTAATGCTCAAATGGTGCAGGAGAGGGACAACACAGACAGTACAATATCCTGTGGGTTGGGTCCAAATTTCTTGATGAGTCCTTGCCTCTCTACAAGCAGCTTGTTGTAAATGCGTTTGGACCGTTCAAGACGTGTCGGAAGGTCATGAGCATGGAGTTTACGCAAAGCAATTCTGGGACGAATGGCGCCGGGGTGATGTACTCCCAGAAGGTATAATGTGCCGACCACACAGAAAAGGATGAAGGTACTGTATCTTGGGTGCTGAGTCCACAACGCCATCAAGGAAAGAGCAAGAATGGGAACCAATTGGACTTTTCGTATTGATGCAAATCAGGGTCCAAGAAATTCGGTATTCAAGTGTCCCTTGAAAGGCACAGAACAAGTACAAATCTATGGACGAAGCAGAATGCATAACGATAAAACAGCCAAGAAGGGCAGGGAGGGGACAGGGTTTCGCGCTCCAAAATTTGTGGATGCTGCGCTGGCAGGGGAGACTGAGGGTAGAGGGGAAGAGGAGATAGAGGAGGTCGAGAAACGCGAGGTAAACGAGGTCGTCGGTAATGTCAATGACTGAAATGATGAAGAGGGCTTTGGTTTAACCGACGGTTGGGGGATTGAGAGAGAGACGGAGGTATCGACATTGCCAACGGTGATTGTGGTGGGGATGATGCTTCCTGGCCTGTTGGAAATCGTGGTTGGGATCGCTACAGAGCGGGTGGCCGAAGCAAGGGGTGATGAGAATGAGCCCGACATCCCTTTGAGCCTGGAAGAAAGTCAAGCTCTGCGGACACTAGGCAAGATCCAAAACACACGTGAAGAAGGGAGAAAATCCAACGTAGTTTGTACCATTCACCTTTGTTTCGGTGGAGGTGAATGCGATATAGCTGCGGCTAGATAAGGGATATAATGCGCTGCGAGACTGCTTTAACATACTACGCGTTGGAATTTGGTCCAGCTTCGGGTATGGGCTAGAGATGTGTGAGCCTTCGCATTTGGCGACGTTTTCAACGACATACAGTAAATTGGTAGGAGAGGACGTTTGAGGTATCCACGGGCGGTAACGTTTGTACGAGTTGCTTGACAAAATGTTGAGGGCGACAAGCAAGACATGAAATGAGACCAACCATTTTGCCGGTATATAATCCAGCGGTAACAACGCCAATGGAAGGGAGCAATGGACTTGAGCAGAATGTTATCGCGAGCTGGTGTGAAAAAGCTACACACAACGCACCGATTGCCATCGTCAAGCCAACTGACAGTACAAGGCGAACCACCAGTGCATGAGCTGCCGCTTGCAGGTTGAAGGAACTCGAGAGACGCTCAGAAAACGCAGAGCAAACTGACAGTAGACATACGTATAATCCGGCCCAACAAGTCGGAGCCAATTGCAGCGCCAAAAGAATGCTGGTGAGAGCAAAAAGCATCGGTAACGAGTGTGCTAAATGAGAGTGATTTTGGGAGATTTATCGAGTTATTAAACCGGCGGAGGGCTCCGAGGCATGCAGCGAGAGGACGGCGTTCGGGACAAGTCGTAAAATTCGTTGCCAACTTGGCCAGATCAAAAGTGGTGCAATGCGTGACACGTGATGGCCTTCCGAAGGTCGATGTGTTCTCTGTAAATTTAGGTCTTTGCCCTGCATCTGGTCAAGTGTATATTTATCCAACCATAGGATTACTACTATGTTCAAGATACTGATCTCTATATTAGGCCTTGCAATCCTGATCAAGCATTATTGACTTCAGAGCCCTCAACAACTCACAGGGCGTTACTTCTCTCGACCACAATCCAAGACTCTTCAAACTCCTTTCTTGAGGTGGACGACCAAGAAAAAAAAGAACAACTGCCAAGCAAGACCCCTGTTATGCTGATGGTAATCGCTCCGTGTGGTCGAAAAACCGCACTAACAAACTGTGCTGCCCTCTTGTCTGACCGGGCATACCTCTATTTACGTCGCTGCGTTCACGCCTTAATCTTTTTCCTCTCAAGCAAACTCGCACATCTGACTCTCAGCGTCAATTTGGCGTCAATTCTCCGTGAATCTTGTGTGTCACTGTGTGAATCAAGAACGGAGTTTCGACATTCGTGTGTCAATCACAACATTCATCTGATCAACCTGGGCGCAACATATATAATAGCGAGAAATCACCCCTGCCCTTCTCTTCGAGATCCCCTCATAACCTCGCTCTTCTTGACCCTCCCCCCCTCCTGGCCCTCGTTGCCGCTACACTCTCTTGACTCCACACTCACTTAAGCAAAACCATCGACCATGTTCTCCGTCTCCTCCGCTGTCGTGGCTTTGGCCCTGGCCAAAGTTTCCTTTGCTGCCCTCTCTGTTCGTTTTCTTCGAAAAGTTACATTTTCTCAACTCATCTTGTGCTCAGTTCACAGCGCCTACTGCAACCATTGGTTTCACCGGCGGGCAAGATGCCACCATCACCTGGGTCGACGACAACACCCAACCCCCCCTCTCTGCCTATGGCCCAATGAAAGCGTCGATCTACGCTGGGAATTCTCAGCAGCAGGTGCGAACAGGTTTTTTGGTAAGACCGACATGAAATCTCACGGATTAAACAGACGAGCCTGCAAACCATTGCAGAGAGCATTGATGTCACGACCCTTTCTCTGAAATTCAAGCCAGACGCATCCATCGGACCCAACAGCAATCAATAGTCAGTGGCGTGTTTAGCGTCTTTTCTATATTCACATTCTTTTTCTCATCAGCTTCATCCGTTTCGAGGCACTGACCACGAAGGACCCCAACAATGCCGCCATTCCCCTTCTCGCTTTTTCCCATCAATTTGCGTGAGTGGAGATGTTCAACTTGGTGCCCAATGACCCATCTGCCTCCAGTCTTTCTTCCATGACCGGTGTATTCAATGCTGCGGTACAGGCCCAGATTGATGGCCAATCAACTGCTCCTATTGGTGGGGCGCAACAGACAAGTGCTCCCGCATCCGTCTCGAAGCCTGCCTCGGCGACGAGCTCACCAGCGAAAGCATCTGCCCCCGTCTCCGGGTCACCCAGCAAATCGAGTCGTTCTGCCGCTCCCTCTGGTAGCAGTGCTGCTCTTCCTCTTGTCGCGTCGTCAAATGGGAAGCTGTGGGTGGGAATTGTGACCGGTGTTGCTGGTGCGGTTATGGGTGCTGCGTTGCTCTAGATGAATAGACCTGATTCTGTTGGATGACTGAGATGACTTTTTCTCTTCACTATCTCCTTAGCTTCATGGATTCGATACTCGTCCTTCTACAATTAATTTCTGTCTCACCCCCAAAAAGACCCACCTGTCCGTCACGTGCCATCAAGGAAGTGGTGTGAACTTGAGTGCGCCCCAAGTTGTTTTAGCCTTGCTTCGTCTTCACGGTCATCCAATGATTCACTAAACTTCTTGCCTCTCTAATGCACTCACCATCGCGCTTCTTCTCCATCCGTCCCCCGTCGCTGTTTGCTAGTGCAAGTGCTCGTCTTGTTACTGCTGGCCGCGGCACACGACCGAGTGTCTCCCACCGTCTGCTCTCTCAGCCAGTTAGAAGCGACATGTCCAACCACCCAAAGCCCCGTTTCTCTGTCTCCCCCATTCCACCCAACGTTCTTGGACCTGAACGTTACATCCAAACTGCTGCAGCACTTGTAATCGGGTTCGCGTTCTCCCTTTCGTTAGCCGTCGAGCTAATTGATTGGCGATAGAGACGAGATTCTCAATGGGAAGGTGTGCTTTCTGGCATTTTATTCTTCACATGAAGCCCTAATAGACAATGCAGACACACGATACGAATTCGAATTACTTTGCGCGATGGTGTTTCGAGCATGGGGTCGAGTGTAAGCGAATAGAGGTCATCGCTGACGAGGAAGAGCAGATGTTGGTGCATTCTTGCCGTCTTATTCATGCATTAACCATGGCAGAATCGAGGCAAGCCGGCGGATGGTGCAAACTTATGACTTGGTCGTGACTACTGGTGGTATTGGATCGACTCATGACGGTGAGTCTATCCGGTTCTCTCTACGCATGTTGTTCAGTGAAGCTAGATATCACGTATGGCTCCCTGGCGAAGGCATTCGAGCAAGCGCTTGTCCACCATAGTGAAACCCTTGCGCGTATGACACAGATGGCCAAACACCGACACTGGTTCTCGACACAAACTCCTCAGCAACGTGCTGCTACTGAACGAATGGCCCTATTTCCCAACCGGGCGGAGGTCCTGTTTGTTGCTGAAGATATCTGGGTGGTATGATTCTCTGCTTTAGACCCGTGCTTCTTGTGATAATTCACGGCAGCCCGTTGTCCGACTCGAAGGCAAACTCTGCATTTTCCCCGGAATCCCGTCGCTCTTTCAGAAGATGCTAACTGCATTAACTCCGCTTCTGCCTTTACCGCCGATATCTGAACGACCACGACGGATTCAGGTGTTTACCGAGTATGCTGATTTGTTGTTTTTTCAACTTGGAACTGATTCATCGGCCATAGACGACCCGAGTCAATGATTGCGCCATACCTCACCAAACTTCAAGCGCGCGTGAAACCGCACGGGGTCCAGGTGGGGTCCTATCCCGTGCTTGGACAAGGCGTGTTTGTTAGCCTCATTGGTCGGGAAAGGCCTATTACCACGACTGCAGTGTCGAACGCGGATCACGGCAGCTTGGAGGACATCGCAAAAGAGGTTGGGATCGCTATAGAAGGCTACGTCGTGACAGAGGAGGAAGTGTTGAAGCGCAAGGGTCAATGTGAGACTCTTCAGTCGCCTGGAGAGGTTGCAGCAAGTCTAGCGGGTGGTACAAGCACAAATGCAAAAGCGAAGATATAAAAATGAGGATTCAATAAATATTTTTTTGTACATTTTAGTGTGTAAAACTAACCAAAGTCTGTTTCGGAGGTCTGATCACGGTGTTGTGACCATCTTTCAAAGGCCTTTGCCTCTTCTACCTTGCAGTGGGAGTACGGCACCAAAAATGCCCCCCTACTGGACTACACACTATACATGCATATGCCACGTGTCTTTGTCCTCGTTTCAGCCGCGACGATGTTCCGAGATCGCTTTCTCTCGCTCGCAAACGAACAGTGTTTGAGCTCCTGGATTCCTGGTCAACACCTTTCAACTCATTTAGCGACCGCAGCTCAAGTTACAAGGCGTGCTAAACGCGATTCAACGGCTTTTGTACCTCTACCCCAAGATCGCTTCACACACACCCACAACATTTTCCCTCGCTGAATCGAGTAATGCTCAACGTCATTGCCTCCGTTTCCCGCCGAAGCTACAGTAGCACAACCCGGAATATCTCGAGTTACAGTCCAGTCTGCCGCACGCAAGCGTCGTTGCAGCCAGGAAGCGACTGAACCAAACACGAAACGACATACAAACTCGTGCCGGCAGCATGGAATCCTATAAAACCCAACTTTCATTTCATTTTCTTTTCTTCTCGCGCTTCAAGTTCGCCTCAACTACGACGGCAAGAGTGCATGTTTGCGATGTTCTCCGTCTCCCAACCAAAAACCCGGTCTGCGCCCACCAAGGTGAGTGGATGGAATTATATTTGTTGTCCGATTACTAAGAAACCATAGCCTCCCAGGAACTTTGCTGTGCGGGTCTTCAAGGGCCCAGCAGTATCTACGGTGGCTTTCCCCCACACTGCGACTGGCAAATTTGATGCTGGATATCGACCAACTCCGAGTAATGACCCTCGACAACCACAAAGCTGGTATAACGGTCCCACTCGCCAGCCAGCCGCACTGTCTATCCCTCGGGAGCCTCTCAAAGCTGCTGGCCGCTTTGTCAATGCAACCCCTCATCCTTCTGCACCAACCAATTATGCCGACTTTATTTACGAGCGCTCGCTTTCTTCGAAATCCGACATTTATTCAGACGAGTCGCCATCGACATCTGTTTCCACCACCCCAACCTCTTTATTTTCGCCGGCATTCTCGGCCAACAGCTCTCTGACATCGACACCGTCTGAGGGTACTGTGACCCAAACGACTACTAGTAGTAGACCGAACGCTTTTCCTCTCAATATTCCTGCACTATCCCAGGCTCAGTCGGCTGTGCGGAATCACGGTCTCTTTGCTCACCCAAACGACAATATCCAACAGCAACAACAGACCCAGCCAATGCTTATACCAGCGACACGTGCTCCCGACTCAAGTCCTCCGCGAATTGACAACAGCCCGGTTCGCATGCCTCTGTCCGAGTCGCCTCAGGATGACGCTTCACTCATGGGCTTGATTCCTCCTCCGAGATCAGAGGCGGAAGCAACGGTGGGTGAATCTGAGCGACTAGCTTTGAGAAATGCTCAGATGAATGCTGCTGGGTCGGCGTATTATCAAGCAGGTTTTCAAATGCGACGAACGCAAAGTCGTTCTAGCTCCCGTTCCCCGGAGAGGACCAATGGCGCCGCTGGTGTTTACGAGTCCTCGAGTATTGTTACCACTAACTCGGCGAGGACATCTCCTACCATCGTCAACGGAGTTGGTTATGCAGCTTCCGACACATCCTCGGTCACTATCGTCGATTCGCAGGCGATACCACCACGTCCTCGAGTCGATTCGCTGGCTCTAAGTGCAAGACACCTTCATGTCAATATTCCCGTCTCTCAACTTGTTGAGCTCGGGAGTCCAGAGCCAGAACGCGAACGTCTCCGAATTATGACGGCGGGTGAAGAGTTGCGAGGGTTGAACATGAACGGAGTACAACGAGAGGTTTATAACAATACCATAACTGCAGGCACACATCATCGGATGCCGCCATTGCCTTCAGTCATTCCTGCAGTGGTCAGATCTGACAGTGGCGACGACCGCGTCCGCTCCCCAATAACTGACCGCCCTCTTCGAGAGCGCGAGAGGCGCAGCTCCGGTAACCTCTGGGGCTCTAGTTCACAAACACCCGATCGTCGTTCACCCATTCAAACTCCCGCTCGACCATCGAGTACACCACCAGTCCCTCTCCCTCGAATCGACACATCCGCTGGAAGGTCGACATATCACGGAGTTCCTGCCGCTCCTCCTCCCACCCCAGCCTCGGCACAACAGTCTCCCACTATTCGTCGGGACTCTCAGTCGGGTCCGGCTCCGATTCCACCACCCCTTCTCCCTCCTCCCAATGGGGGGCCATCACGTGTTCGAACCCCTGTCGCTGGTCCACGTGCAGGAAATGTCCGACGACGTTCAGACGGCGATGAACCTGTGAACAGTACTGTGGCTGGTCCAAGTCAGAATCCGGTATTTCAAGGTCACAAATCCCCTCCAGGGGCGTTGCCTCTTGAACCCCAGCGTCGGCGATCAGTCCAATCTGTGGTACCTCCTCCTGCACAACCACAGCCACCAGCTTCACGTAACGTTCGATGGACGGAAAACCTGGTTTGCCCGTCACCTATTTTCGCAAGTCAAAGACGTAAGGGATGGTGGAATCGTCGCGGGTAAGTTTTTCTTTCCCTTTTTGTTGTCTGGCGGTGCTGATATATTGGTGCAGTGACCAACTTTGGACGAATGATGGGGCCTATAAACCAGTTCCTAAGGGTTTCGAGTTCCCAAACGACCTGCGCGACTATCCCGAGTACGGAACTGGCTGGATGAATGAGGATGGGGTCAGAATTGACATGGGTCATCGGCTGATACCCAAGGTGCCATTGCGTTCTGCCTTGAAGCAGCCTAGAGGCCCTGTCGTTCTTGTCAACCCGGGCGGTCCGTGATTGCGATGATGCTGAAAAACAATGCACTGAACAGAAACGCTTTAAGTTATTATAACTTATTCGCCGCTCGTATACTATTAGTCACCCCCCAAGATGTATTTATGTCAAATGAGCCATATGCCCAGAGTAAGCCGGATGTCAGTGAGACATGGCAGCAGCGCGTTCAAAACTGTCCTTGAAGTGAGAAAAGGTGTCGTTGTCCACGATTGCAAATGCGACATAGTCAAAGGAGCGACCAAAACGGGCCCGTGGGGTCCCCAGAAGCTCTGCCCAGATACCAGCAACGGCTTCGACCGAATTTTGAAAGACTCCAGTGCCAAAGCTACCCAGTACAATGTTGCGAACCTGACGTCGCTCAAACAGGAAGAGAATACGGGCCATACGCTCGCGCATTGCGAAAATGATGGAGGCCTCGATAGCATGACCAGGACCAGAGACCGCCTTTTTGCGGATGAGCCCAGCATGAACTGCTGGACTGGTAATCACGTCGATTTCCATAGGCACGGCCATTGTGCCATCGTCAAGACGAAAGATGACGATTCGTGGAGAATAGATCATAGCATGCGAGTAGAAGCCATCCTTTCCGTCGGCAGAATGGAGAGTATAGAATTGTTGCGCTGTCGGTGTCATGAGTGAGGGATAGAGTGTTGAGCTGCGTGCAAGAGACTCTTCTTGCGCGCTGGCCCCGTTGATGAATCCACCTCCTGGTTGCTCTGAACAAAAAAAAGTTGAAACGAGGAAATAACGTGGGCAAAAGCTTACCTGCAGATGCGAAATTGAGTACACCGATAGGTTTTTTGCGACCAGAAGTGCCCGCAGAGCGGGCGGCATCGAGCGTTGTTGTCTCTAGTATTTCAATCACAGTGAACGGCCGGCTTGGCGGTGGAAGCGCTGGGCTATTTGTTTCCCAAGTAGATAACAGTGAGTTTGGAGCGTAATAAGCAGTGTGTTCAGTTGATTCAGTGATGTTGGGAGCGAGCGGATAAACGAGCTGGTTGACTACGACCCGTCCAGAAGAAATCGCCGCTAGGGTCGTGTCTGCGATGCTCTTTAGTTTCTCTCTTGAAAATGACATGTCAGCAGGCGAAAAGGGAAGTACCTGGAACGGTCACGTTAGATTTTGGCTTGGCAAACGACCACGATGGCATCCAGCACTAGTCCGATACTCGCAAGTGCAAAGCGTCGCCGGCCGACTATGATATCCGGGACTTTCCATCCCGCTTTAGGGTGTGCATAACGCGACCAAACCTCCTAAAGTCTCACTCTGCTGGCAGTCACGACATGATTCACTGTCCTCCACAACAATTCGAGAGCTTCCGCAAGAGTGCCGACGAAATCAAGGGCATCTCTAAACGCCAAGTGCGAGCTTTTTATGAGCGACAGAGTACGCGTTTCGAATGACGGAGCTCGCTCGACCCACAAACAAGCACAGATGAAATTCTCGACGGGTTATTAGAAGTAGAGGGTATATTGGGCTCAAAGCTACCTGACACAGTGTTTGGGACCTTCTCCCGCCAGCCAATATTAGAGGATGGGCCATTACTTGCTTCGCCGATTGCAGAGAACGGCGATGATGCTGAACGGCAGCCATTGTTGGGTGAATCGAAAGAGAAACAGCGGGAACGTGCCGATAAAATTGCGCTCAATGGTGCGCAGCCTTTCACTAGTTCAAGCTGCCCGTGGTATAACCGCTTGCCTAGTGAATATTGCAGTCAACATCCTCCTGCTTGGGACCAAGGGCTTCGCTGTCCTGCTTTCGTCATCAGTTTCCCTTTTAGCTTCATTTGTTGACTCTGCACTCGACTTCCTCTCCACGCTCATTATCTGGGGTGCCGCTCTCGCCTCTAATAAGAAAGATGATTCCACAAGATTCGTCTATCCAACGGGCAAAAAGCGTTTCGAGCCTCTCGGCGTACTTATATTCTCTGTGTGCATGATTGCCTCGTTCAGCCAGGTTCTCGTAGAATCTCTGCGAAAGCTATTCGTCACTGGAGACGACCATTTGGGTACTGTCTCGTTGTTTGGTAAAATGCACGCTATTCCTCCATCGCACTCCCAAGCTTTGTTCTGAAGATCTGCAGAACTATGATCGCAACTATCGTCATCAAGAGCGTAATATGGATCTGGTGCGCTAAATTCCAGTCGTCCTCCATACAAGCCCTAGCACAGGTCTGTTGCGCCTTCAGGTGTGGGCTTGTTTCTGACCCACTATTCATGAAACAGGATGCCAAGAACGATGTCTTCTTCAACACGTTTTCCCTCATTATTCCGGTGAGTAACGACTAAACAGCATCCACGAGCTAATTCGACGTCTAGTGGGTTGGTGAGCTGCTCTCCATAAAACAACTCGATCCTCTGGGTGGTGCCTTTCTCAGCATTTATAGTTTGTTGATTCCAGCCGGAAATGAACGGGATACTCATCCTCATCAGTCATTGTGGAGTGGATCAGGACTCTCCTTGAGAACTTTACCAAACTATCAGGAAAGATTGCCAGCAACGAACATCACGCGCGGGTTCTGTATCTGGTGTCTAAGTTCAATCCTGTTCAAGAGATCTCATACTTGGAGGTCTAGTGGGTTATTCTCCATTGCCTGCATTCCTTTGCTCATGTCCTGATAGCCACGTTGGAGATGAGCTTATCGTTGAGGTGGACATAATGTGCGTTTTCCTTGTGGTCTTGTTCTACATATACCTATTGACTCTATAGCCTGCCCTCGTCCACCTCGCTTCCATATGCACATGACGTTGGGGAGACAATCCAGGCTTCGATCGAGGCCCTCGAGCTGGTTTCGCGTGCCTAGTAAGTGGTACTGGGTTCTCACTTGCTGGTTTTGAATGTAAGCAGCGTGCATCTCGACTATTCGAGCGATAACCCGGCGCAACATGGAGGGAGTGGTGTTTGAACAATCATAGAGAGTATTATGAGTCGATATAACGGTGTAATATGTACCTACTCCACCTCACCTACCTCTGATCTACGGCTAGTAAGCTGTGGACAGGCCGTGATCGTGAGCGGCTAAGATGCCCTAAGCGAAGGCGATCGCGCGCACCGTGCGCGCACCTCCCACGCTTTCCCAGAAAGGAAGCGTTACGTGCCGTTGATTGGGTCAAGCCGGTCTCGGTCAAGCCAGTCTCCGCCAGCAGCGAGAGGCCACCAACAGCTCATTGACTGGTTTTTCAACTCAACTTATATACTCTACAAACCAGTTGAATACCAACAATGAGATAATCCTAAGTCAGTTATGTTGGTAATCTCATATGCGTGTCAGCGATCTCTCCCGTGTTGGCGACCTCAGGCGCACCAGTGATTTACAAGTCAGATGCGTCAGTGATCTCATATGCGCATTGATGATCCCCCGCATTAGCGACTTTAAGCGCAACAGTGATTTATCCACTTGCATCTCCCACGATGTGGGTCGTGAGAAGGCGCGCGACCTCGTGAGAAATCATTCCACCCTTTTTTTTCATGGCCACCACCGCATCTCCGGGCCCTGCCCAAGGCAGCCCTCACAACCAGCTCGTGCCGTCCGACAACATACACGGTGACACGTCGCAGAGCACTCCCAATCAATCCGACGACTATGACACATGTCTTCTGGAACTGGAGCACACCATCCAGACTGCTGTGGCAAAGATGGTGAAGAAGTTCCCAGAGAATGAGGCCGCCATACGCGCCTATGTGTATCATACCCTACCGGCCAAGCGCAACTCTACACTTCACAACGCACTTTTGCACAACCTGGCGAAGGAGTTTAAGCTCCGAGGTATGTCCACTACCAGCTTTGCTCACTCAGATGGCTGACTTAGCCCAGGAATACAGCCAACAAGGGAGGTACTCAACGCCAGGTTTGCTCAGAAGACATCGGCAGGGCACTCCTGGCACAACTACCATGACTGGCCACAGACGACGAAGGACAGATATCTCAAAGAGTTGAAGGTCTTCAAGGAAGGGCAGGAACTCATGGTGAGCTCAGAGCTGAAGGTTGGCAGGGTGGCCCAAAGGATGGTGTCAGACACGGCACACCCGCATGCTATCTTTGGTGAGTGGGCCACATACCAATTGTCGTAGATGAGTCAGAGATCATAATTATGTCGCGTCAGTGATTGCTGTTGTGTTGGTGATTGAGCCATCGCGTCAGCAATTGCTGTTGCGTTGATGATCTCTGACTCGTTAGCCATGGTCATGTCGGCAACTGCACGTAGGGATGCATTACTCATGTATACCACAGGGGAAGAAGCTCTATACCTGTACCGGCACACCTATGGCTGCCATTATCCCGCAACTCAACAGGAAGTCGCGGGGCACTGCCTCAATGATCGTCACTGGTGGTCTGGAGAAGTATTATGAGTACAAGGACTTGGGGTTGTTTGGGAAGATGCCCACCAACAATATGGCAGACGAGGCCAACAAAATGACGTTGTTTGCCATGTACAACAACCCTGTGCAACCACTCAGTCGATCCATTGGCCGCGTCCGGTCTGATTGTGCTCAAATGATGAAGAGAGCGCTAGGTATAAGGCCTCTCTAGCCCTTACCAGATATCTAACAATTTCCAAAGAGATGGCTGTTCCCCCAGAGTTTGTTGCTGAAGCAAGGGTACAAGGATGATGGCATTGATGAGTTCTATGCTAAACAAGGTGTCCGCTTCATCCGTCCCGAAGGCTTTTTCTTTGACAACCAATCAACAAAAAACTTCAACCTCCAATTTGCCAGCCGCGTCCGGGGCCTTCTTGTTAGCAAGCAGATTCGGTTTGAGCGATTGGACACCGACCCCGACTCAGTCGACCTAGACCCTCACCTTGTGGCAGTCATGCAGACACCCCAGAAGAATGCAAAGGCCAAGAAGCAGTCAAAGGGAGGCACTGCATCTCAGCCAGCCACAAACCAGGCAGCATTCCATCACCAGTTCGACTCCAGCCAGGCTACAGGCCGGGTAACACTGGCTCACCAATCACCAATGCAACAGCGATCACCGACGTACGATATCATCCCACATCAAGCTCAAATATCACCGATGCGACAGCAATCACCAATGCGGTATATGCCATATCAACGCCAGGCATCACTCACGCAGGGACAGCAAGCGCAATCACACCAATTACCGATGCAACAGCGATCACCGATGCGACAGCAATCACCAACACCATACATGCCATATCAAGGCCGGGCGTCATTCACGCAGGGACAACAACCATCACTGATGGCACAGCAATTGTCGACGTACGGTATGCCATACCAAGGCATGCTGCAAGGCCAAGGATCACTCACGCTGGCTCATCAATCGCTGATGCAACAGCGATCGCCGACATCCAATATCATCCCACAACAAGCACAGATGACACTGATGCAACAGCAATCACTATCATCCAACACGCCCTATCAAGGCCAGGCATCACTCACACAGGCTTACATATCACCAATGCAATAGCGATCAACAGCTTACACCGACCAGCCGGCAGGAGGGCATATTCAGGAGCGGGCATGGGGCCAGACGGGTCGTTACAATGTAGACAGACTCATGAATACAGAATAGGCACTAGGTGACAAGTTTTAAACCCTAGTTAGTCAGGTCCCAGTGATCACTGTTGTAACTGTTGTAACAGTGATCATTATTGCGACAGTGATGATGCTTGCGACAGTGATAATGCTTGCGACAGTGATGATGCTTGCGACAGTGATGGTGCTGGCGACAGTGATGGTGCTGGCGACAGTGATGATGTCGAGCTTCACATCCTTGAAGCGCTCTCCATGAAACTGGCTCATGATGACACCCTTGTGGTTGGCAACCATCGCCCAGTAGCTACTTTGCGTAGGGGGCATTTGTATGAACAGCTGGAACCCGTAGACACAGTACCTCCACTTACGGCCGTGCTGTTCCCACTCCGTGTTCAGTACAATCTGCTCCAGCTGCATGTCCCGGGGGCGGAGCTGTGTGGCAACGGGAAACGAGCCATCCGGAGCTCTGGTCATGCCTTCGGGGTAGATGATGTCGAAGTAGGGGGTGCTGTCCTTGCTAAGAAGAAAGATCAGCTCTGCAAGAACGATAGTGATCACCGACATGCATCAGTGATCACTGGCGCGACAGTCACCCTCTCGCGTTGGTGATGTCACGTCAGCGATCACTGACACAGCGGCTATATAAACTTACCTCTTCTTGCCCTTCTTGCCCTTCTTCACCTTTTTGTCTCCTTTGCCGCTGTCTTTGGCATGTGAGTTCGTGTTGGACAAGGGGCCAGCCTCAGTGCTGCTCTTGGGGGGTTCCTCTGGGACTTGTACAGGGCCTCCAGCCTGATTCTCCGCCGGTAGCATCGGCCCTTGGGGCTGGGGAGGGATCCAGTCTCCACCTAGCAGACGCTTTCCACCGGGGAGCAGCTTCCCATCAGGCCCCGCAAAACCGTACCCATCCATTGTCCTCCTCGTCGTAGATGCTGAAGCCTTCCTGGCTTACCTCCAACAACTGACCATGCTCTCGCCACTCCAAGGAATGAGGAGAGAGCAGGGGGAAGGTGAATAGCTCGGGGAGACGGAAGGTTGGCTTGCTACTTGGGAGGGAGAGAGGTGGGGGAGCGGTCGAGGGGGACCCTGTCCTAATACCATCGCTGCAAATTCGTTAGTGACATGAGTTGCGTCAGTAATCACCAATACGTCAGTGACTGACGCGTCGGTGACTGCCGGCGTCGGTGACTGACGTATTGGTCAGTTTAACACTTACGTTTTCAGGGTAGATTTTTTTTGTGGCCGTCTGCCTGTTCCTGTCTTGCTGCGAGATGGGCCAGCTGGGGCCCTTTGGCTCACAGGTGGAGGGGCGGCCAGTGTCTCATCATCCCTGTACCAAGCAGTTAGCCATTCCATCTCATGTCAGTGATCACCAAGAGTACTTACGAGTCATTGATGAACTCTTTCGACTTGACCTGTTTTTCCTTCCCCTTCCCCTTGTTTATAACCACCTTTGACACTAAATCATCCCCTCCCGCACTTCTGCACCGTTCCTGGACTGCGTCCTGGCTCGCGATCCACTCGTGGTCCTCTGGGTTGATAAATGTCCCGTCTTCCTTCTGCACCTTAGCCAAATCCGCTTTGACCTCCCCAATCGACCTGTTTTTGGTCACAATACCAAAATGTTCCGCAAGGAAGCATGTGTTGCGCCTACGCTGCGCATATGAGACACCCTCGCCATTGATCTTGACTCGGTGGGTGTTCCGATACTTCTCTGCGGCTGCGTTTCTGGCAGAGGTTGCAGAGCCAGATTTTTTCGCAACCCGGATCTTCGGGTGCTCAGGCTTGACTTCCTTGACTTCGTCGGGTGTGTCTTCTTCAGATGAAAAGCTGATGCTATTCAGAGTTAGCAATCTATCAGTTCAAAGTTTTAGATTACCTACCCTGGCTTGCCCTGAGATCGTTCACGTTTGCGCGGAGTGAACGATGGGATCTCATCGTCAGGAGTGAACGATGGGATCTCGTCATCACCATGCTCACTGAGGTCGCTTTCGTCAGAGCCTAGCACTGGCGAGTAGTCGGCTGGGTAGAAGTCCTCGTCGTCATACTCTCCCCAGAGTTGCCACCGCTTGTTCCACGGATTCCAGTACCGTTCGCGCTTGTTGTACTCATAGACACGCCACTTCTTGTCCCATTTCCCATACTCCCACGGCTTGTCGGTCCCATCAATGGCAGGGCGAGGCGGCTGGCGGGTATCGTCGATGGCAGGGCGAGGTGGTTCTCCTTCGGAGTCGTCAGTGGATTCTTCGTCACTGGATTCTTCGTCACTGTATTCTTCGTCACTGGATTCTTCGTCACTGGATTCCGAGGATTCCTTGTCGCTGGAGGCAGAGGATTCACTATCTCTCCTTTTTGGGCTCGAAGCTCTCATTGGAGCTGGAAGATGACCCCCTGCTGGGGCTCTTC